TTTACCTCTCTTCGGTGCTGAAGATTCGAATTCACAGATTTCATTGTAATAGCATCGGATGGTTTCTTCCCAATTAATCTTGTTACTTCATTATTCAGGGCTGATACAACAGCTGATTATCGTTGATCTCAATCGATATGATTTCATTTCAATCACATACTAATATCCAAACAAACGTTCTGCTATTGTCTGGTTAAATCTTTCAAGAATTGTTTGGCTATGATTTGCCCCTTTTCTGCCACGCCTGTTTGCAACATCGTGCTTTGTTAATAGTTTAGTTACTGATCCCATAAACTTGCGACGAGGATCTACTTGAAATAACTTCGTCCATTTGTATGATCCACGTTTATAAGTGCGGCCAAGTGCATTTGCTTCTTCAGTTGAATTTTTTAAGTATATAGTTCAGACTAGCTACATCTACTACGGTTAAAGCACATTTATATATTTTGCGTCTTACCTTCTCATGAGGAAGAAAGAAGAGGTCAGCCTGATGAACTTGATAAGTTTTGGAAATATTAATCGTGGGGCCAGTAAATATATTTGCCATATTGTTTGGCAATTTAGCCATTCCTTGTATTGGCAACATCTTTAGATACCTTAGGCATTGCAGCTAGTTTTTGTTCCGCCGCTATTCCTTTCCAGTCTGCTTGCGGACTACAGTAAATTTTATCCATTATTAATTAATATTGATGTTTCTTTAAAACAACTATTTATAACAATAGACAATTACAAGCCAACAAAAGAAGAACTTGACAAAGCTATTGAAGCATTTCTGCTCTTGGACAGATTCGAAAATGACAACAAGGTATATACTTTATCTTGGATGTCAAGCCAACCACATACGGTTTTCAATTGTTTCTTTCCAATTGTGAAGAAGAGCATACAGTCTGGTCTCCTTGTAAAATGAACAAAGAACTTAGTAAAAATGTTGCGTAAAATGATATTAAAGACTCTACGAAGGCATGCACACATAACCTTTCAACCAGTGTTGAAAAATATATTCGATATCAAGCCATCCGAATACGGTTATTAATTGTTTCTTTCCAGTTGTGAAGAAGAGTATTCAGTCTGGTCTTAGTAAAAATGTTGAATATCACTTTGTCCAAAATTATAGTATGCGTATGAATAAAAATATTGGAGAATAATTTCATAACAATTTAGCTTAAACTATTCCTCGAGATATGACGATCCTTGAATCGTCTTACATAGATCGAATAAACTTCACACTCTATAGATGCATTGACAGGGACCAACCTGGTCCAGGTTGGGTGGTCCAGAATACCCATCGTCTATACTGCTCACGGTCATAAGAAAATATATCCTCTACGTTGATAATACTTTCATCTACATAGATGTAACTCACATCTACGTAGATGATGCGACCATATACATATATGCAGATGATACTACTCACATCTATGTAGATGATACTTCTCACATCTATGTAGAATAAACTTTCATCTATGTATATACTATTATATTCTACGTTGAAGAAAGTAGTATTTTCTATCGAATTATCGACTTGCCCCACCGTCGTACAACCGTAATAAACAAACCAACAACCGAATAATAATATCGTATGTGTCAATCATTCAGATTGCATTATACACACTAACGGCTGGGAGAAACAGGTTATATGTGCAAGATATTGGTATTCATAAATCATCTTACTTTAAAAACACAGGAGCAACACCCGTTTTTGGACAGGTGAATCGATCAAAATCATGTGCACAGCACTATAGTGGCAAAAGTGTTTTTTCACGTGCAACTGGTCACGTGGCCATAATACCGCACGTGTTTTCAGCCATGCTTGTTAGCAGTCATTAACAAAAAAAGAAAAAACACAAGAAAACAAAAGTCTTAACGGCCATTTGTCATGCCACGCCTTTCAAATGTGCAACGTGAACGTGCCATCGGCACGTTGCAGACGGGAACGTCCGTAGCTGAAGTCGCAAAGGCGATGGGTTGTAGTCGACGGACTGTTTATGATTTACAGACGCGTCTAAAGCAAACGGGTACCACCGCTTATCGCCCTCGGCAAGGTCGACCACGTGTGACGTCACATGAAGAGGATCGTCAGATTGTCTCACGTCACCTCCGTAACCGATTTTTGACGGCTACATCAACCAGAAATGAACTGTTTAGGGGTAGACTGAGTTCGCAAACTGTTCGAAACCGTCTTGTAACTGCTCACCTTCAAACACGACGGCCATTATGTGGGCCGATTCTGACTCAATTACACAGACGACAACGTCAATTGTGGGCACAGCGACACTTACGATGCGGCTGCTTACCGCGACCAGGTACTGGCACCAGAACTTCTGCCTTTTATGGCAGCACATGGACCCGGTTTGATCTCCCAACACGAAAATGCCAGACCCCACACATCAATTTTGAAGGAATTTCCTTAGAATGCGGGAATCAACGTTATGGACTGGCCGTCACGGTCTCCCGACCACAATCCCATCGAACACGTCTGGGATGCTCTTGGCAGAAGTCTGCGCAATCTCGAGAACCAACCACAGAATTTGCAAGATCTTGGCACCATTTTGCAGCAACAATGGTGTCGTCTTCCCAATCGTGTGTTCACAAGCATCACGAGGTCAATGCGTTGTGTGGCAGTTGTCAACGCACATGGTGGCAATACACACTTCTGAACTTGTGTGCCATCAGATTCTCGTGCTTGGGACGTATGATTTAAACTGTTGATGTTATTACAGAATACCGTAGGTGCTATGGTTACCACCGTTAGTTAAAATCCTTCTTTGGACATTAATGATAATATTTTTTTCTTCTCTGATACATTTGACCGTTGTATATCATATATGGGATTACTTTTAAAAATGTGAAGTTTTTAATTTGACTCAGTATATATCTGAAGAGACCAAACCAGATCAGTTGCACAACTTTGGCCTCCTTTGAGTTCACTACGGTTTTCAATTGTTTCTTTCCAATTGTGAAGAAGAGCATACAGTCTGGTCTCCTTGTAAAATGAACAAAGAACTTAGTAAAAATGTTGCGTAAAATGATATTAAAGACTCTACGAAGGCATGCACACATAACCTTTCAACCAGTGTTGAAAATATATTTGATATCAAGCCATCCGAATACGGTTATTAATTGTTTCTTTCCAGTTGTGAAGAAGAGTATTCAGTCTGGTCTTAGTAAAAATGTTGAATATCACTTTGTCCAAAATTATAGTATGCGTATGAATAAAAATATTGGAGAATAATTTCATTACAATTTAGCTTAAACTATTCCTCGAGATATGACGATCCTTGAATCGTCTTACATAGATCGAATAAACTTCACACTCTATAGATGCATTGACAGGGACCAACCTGGTCCAGGTTGGGTGGTCCAGAATACCCATCGTCTATACTGCTCACGGTCATAAGAAAATATATCCTCTACGTTGATAATACTTTCATCTACATAGATGTAACTCACATCTACGTAGATGATGCGACCATATACATATATGCAGATGATACTACTCACATCTATGTAGATGATACTACTCACATCTATGTAGAATAAACTTTCATCTATGTATATACTATTATATTCTACATTGAAGAAAGTAGTATTTTCTATCGAATTATCGACTTGCCCCACCGTCGTACAACCGTAATAAACAAACCAACAACCGAATAATAATATCGTATGTGTCAATCATTCAGATTGCATTATACACACTAACGGCTGGGAGAAACAGGTTATATGTGCAAGATATTGGTATTCATAAATCATCTTACTTTAAAAACACAGGAGCAACATGTCTGTTTCTCCTTTTTTCACAAAACATTGTGCAGAAGGTAGCGAAACGTTCATTGTACAACATCGTGCCTCCTTGAAAGTTTATCACAAGAAGAGTGCTCTTAAAAGACTTGTTACTTGTCGACTACCAAATTGAAAAAAATAAGAGATATATACGTAAAACCATTCAATGTTAAACCAACAAACAACAAATAATTGATACACAAGTAACAATTCATTTGTTTTGTTTGTAAAATTAACTAGGTTTACAAATCAACATATATTACTGGAAAGTAATTAAATAGGCAGTACACATAATAGAGTGGCAGTACAAACGCCACTGACAGTAGACCAAAAATTGGCAAAGTGGTAGCAGCAAAATAAATCAGTGATTATCATATTCACCTAGCAGCAACAGTGGTCAAACTTCCAAGATAGGTCTAGGTTACATTTCCAGGGTGAAAACAATGATTTTCACACAAACGCTTGATGTAATATGAGATGTAAGAGGCACACTTATGCCCTTTCTTTAGCCTAAATCCCTTCCAGAGCAGTATGTTACATGATGGATTAGTCTGTACTGTTCCAGAAGATTCCAGATTACATTTGATACGAAGTATTCTAAATAAAGTAACTTCCACACCTCTGCTTATATTATATAGTAATACATTCCCGACAACTAACCATTGCCAAAACACAACGCTATGAACGTCCACTGAATATCAACAGAAACAATGAATTGTTATTATAACATTTTTTTAACAATAACTTACATCACCTGTTTTATAACAGTGTTAGTGTATACACCAAAACGTCGCATTCATTGGAATAAAGAAGTTGTATAACCATAGATCTATCTCCCTTGTTCACCATACCAAATTCTAGGTGCCATTTAAAGAAGTAATTAATTACCTTGCCATATAACAATATATATATGATTTTGAAGGCATAGTTTTATGTTATATCAAAATAAATATGACGCTTAACATCTATTACAGATTGGTACACGTGTTGTTGTTACCTGGAAATACTAAACAAAACTACATGCACACTTTTATTAAGTGATTTGCGTATGGTCTGACACCGTGTTGATGAATTTTCTCGTCAAGCCAATATGGGGATCAAATTTGTGTGCTATGATCAAATGAAATAAATGAGTCAGATGTTTTTAGTCTTATCCAAATCTGCCTTGTGGTTGCCAGTTGTGTTACTTAAATGTACTGCTTGTTGAATAAACAGAAATAAACATTAAATGTGACACACAATCTGATGGTTACTTTTTCATATTTGTTTGTCAAACAGGTAATATCTCATTTATACTGTTTTAATCGTTTCTCCAGGGCAACTAACATGTTTACCTACCGAAATGTCTTCTAAATGAGTGCATTTGTTAGCTGTAGATCTTCTCTGCCTGCAACAATGGAACCTTCTCTTCCCTACACTGACATCCTGCAGCAGAACCATACGTTCCTGAAAGAGATTCTTGATGTGGGACCAGTTCTAGAGGGATTATACACAGGACATATCTTTACACTGGAAGACTATGAGACGTGCAAGTCGAAGCAGACTGTATCTGAGAAAATTGAAATGTTACTGTTGATACTGAGAAGGAAGGGGCCGAACGGATACGTGTATTTTCGTGATGTTCTGGCAACGTCACAACCACACGTTAAGAAACGGCTAGACGAAACCAAAAAGAAAACAGGTAATTCAAATATCTAGTTAAGAGTAACTGTTCACATATTCTACATTTTCCGATAAACGAATTTCTTTATGCTGAATAGGGAAACGTGTTTGGTAGTTACCAATTTGTGTGGCTTAATTAAACAGAATATGTATTTTGTTTGTATTTGTATGTTAAAAGAAACGGGGATATATATCAATCAAACTTTCTATGTTTATGAGAGTGATACCTGAAATGTCACGTATGACAGCCTGAACCTGAACAATGCAACTTGCTGGATAATACTCAGAATGTAATGTAGAGGGAAGCGTGCGTTTTTCCCGAAACACCATAAAGCAAAGCATATAATGAGAAATACATATCTTATAGAGCAGTGACGATCCGTGTTACAATTGGTCCTTCAGCAACCCATGGATGTCGTAAGAGGCAACTAGTAAGTGTGTGAGTGAGTATGGGTTTACCCCGCTTTTCGCAATATTCCAGCAATATCACGGCGGGGGACACCAGAAATGGGCTTCACACATTGTACCCATGTCGGGAATCGAATCCGTGTGTTCAGCCAGACGAGCAAAATTAATGCTTCTTACCACAAAGCTACCTGACCGCCCCATAAGAGGCAACTAACGCGATCGGGTGGTCACGCTCGCTGACTTGGTTGATGCACGTCATTGTATCCCAATTGCGTAGACAAGAGCTCATACTGTCAATCACTGGACTGTCTGTTATGGAATCAAGTGCGGCGTCATACAAGAAACAAACAAACGTGTCTTAGAAAGGATGTTACAGTTAGCAATCCAATGACAAAGATACAATTATGTATGTATATATATTCATAAGAAGAAATGAATTTCCACTGAAAACGATCATCATGGAAAATAATTTGTTGTTAGTAAATATTGAAGATTTCTTATGAATAAATGTCCCTTTTCGTTGCCACACATTATTTCTGATTTCTAACATGGATTTAAGTTGTTTTAAAGTAATTTAATTCATTGTTTGCTAGGCACTACTTAGAAGTTGACGGGTGACAAAGTAAACACAATTTATGGATAAACAACCTCTTTAATACTGTAAAGGCGACATTTCGATATAGATCCATATACCTTATCCTGTTTAATTGGCTACATGTCCCCCACCTTTGTGCTCTCTGTCCATCATGTTGTGACAGCCTTATCCTTTTGTTGTCATTACTTACTCATGTTATCCCAGTCATGTATGCAATTGTGTGTTACTGTTAAACCTCTACTGTTAATCCTCCACCAACTATATATATTCTGTACCATGTTCCTAACTCAGCCTTGCTTAACAACGGTATAATTATAAGGATCTATACCGAAACGTCGTTTTTACAGTATTAAAGAAGTTGTTATCCATATCTACTTTGTAATTTCATTCGTGTGGATTAGTGTAAAAATAAATCCCTGTTGTTTCAGGACATATGATGCAACGGGAGCAACAGAAAGAGCCTTTTGATGAACTCAAGGCTGTAAGTACCTACTGTCAATGTCTATACTGCAGTCGAATCTCGTTAAGTAGAAACAGGAGAGACCCGTGAAGATCCGCGGTAGGATAGGTCTTCAGCAACCCATGCTTGCCGTAAAAGGCGACCATGTTTGTAAAAGGCGACTAACGGGATCAGGTGGTCAGGCTAGCTGACTTGGTTGATGAATGACATTAATCACAATTTACGTGGATCGATGCTTATGATGTCAATCACTGGATTGTCTGATTATTTACAGACCGTAATATAGCTGGAATATTGCTGAGTGCGGCGTTAAACAACAAACAAACAAAAGAAACAGGAGAACCAGACAAAAAATCACCTGATACCTTCTTTCCGGTCCTGATAACAAACGTTTTTCTTTATCGTCACTTAAAACGAGATAGCAAGAAACGTACAAGCTGGCAAAGTCCTTAAATGCATCTGAGTGCGATGTTGGTTCACAATTGATCGACACATCTAAACATTTGTTAGACAACGAATGTACATCGGGACAATGATTGGTAATTGCAGCACTTAAATTTATCATTGTTTACAGAGAGAGCTGCTCATTATAAACAAAGGGTTTTATACATGAAATATAATGTCAAAGATGGTGGTCGAAACATTATTAATGGAATAGTATTTTGTTTTTTTTGGGTTACTTATTGTGAATAAATAACTTTAAAATATATACAACTAATATATAAAATAATTTCCCTGCTTTAATTGCGGTAAATTGAAATAACCACTACGGTAAATTGTAATACAATATTATTCTTTGCTAATATACAAAGAAACATGCATGAAGTGGAAAATGTGGGACTAAGCTGTTTGGAAATCAAAATCTAGACTTTGAAAATATTGAATTGATAAAGACTCCTGTACTTTAAAGTTTCAATGATTGTATCTACTTCAAACAACTTCGATTTGACGTTTTTGTTCGACTGCATCCACTATGGTCAATTCCGACCACCATCATGTTAAAAGACGAAGCCGTTTCGGAGGTGAATTGTCCGGATGTAGCGGTCTTGAAAGGGCGTGGTCACCCGTAGTCTTCAGTTTCTCCGACGTAACCGTTGCATCAGCCTGGTAGCATTTATACGGGCTCATCCAAACGTTCTCGTAATGACGGCGTGCAGCGCCCCCTGTTGATTTCAAAGGCTCTCTCCCTCTCTATAGCCGTTAAACGTCCCATTTCTTTAGTGTCCCGGCCCGTTTTTTCCCACAGATAACATTTGGCTTGGTACGTGTGATATGTTTGAGTATGTTTTCATATAAAACAAATAAATTTATTGACAATGTTTCTTAGTTCGGGAAATATACCACAAACATAATGCTTTACACATACTATCTCCGTTAAATAGTGATGATGCATTGCAGTTGGTTCTCATTCCAGGTGTCTAAATTTATCTACTTAGTAGTATAGGTGCCTACAATTTCTTATAGAAGCACTCTGTCAGTGCTATGAATATATTAGATAAATACATATATGTTTTATCTATTAACAGACATCGCACGTGAAGATCCTGAAACGCAATTCTTCCTTCCTGGTCAAAAACCTGGAGCTGAAGCCAATTCTTGACAAATTGTACGAGCTCAAAATATTCTCTGAGGAAAACAAGCAGGACTGTAATTTAAAGGAGGGGACACCTTCTCAGATTAAAGAGCTTATCTCAATCCTCGAAAGGAAAGGAAGATCAGACTTTGATTCCTTCCTTCACGTACTGGGTGAGATTCAACCCTTCATTAAAGATCATCTAAAGGGACTAGAGGACACGACCACTGCAACAGACACGCTCGTTTTCAAACAGAAAGCTAAAATAAAGGAACTCGAAGGGGTATGTGGATCTTTAGACTACATGTAACCGTAAATGAGCTTACTCAGAGATTATAAGCCGACTGTTTGTTTCATTAACTTTTATATCATATATTAGGAATAGCAATTTTATCATGTGATCATTTGGTGAACAGGATATATTTTCCTTTATTTTAATGTGATTTTTATTCGGAAACCATGAGGGTAATATTGCATGTATTTAGCAAAGCATATAATTCATAAAATAGTTAATGTTTAAGGCGTGTTTTCACCCACTGAAGTTACTTCCCAAACCATGCATGAATATGTACACAGACTTCAGTGAAGGCTAAGGTCATATTCTGAGCAACTACTTCCTACCCTAGCGTGGCCCTCAACAATACTTTTCCACCATATCTGTGGCTTATCAAGGCGTTGATGATAATGCAAACCAGACAAGGCCGACGAACATTTAACTCTCAAAAACCATACATATTCGACACATACGGAGGTGAATTCAACCGAAGCACGAGTAACTTATCAATGAATTACAGGTAATTCAGGTAATGTGTCAGTCATAATTTCACCTATGGTCATCACCATGGAGTAACCAATCACGGACCTTGAATTCCATCTCACAGATATCTTCAATGGGTTTCTCTCCTACAAGTGTGTATGAAAAGTAGGTCCTGCTTGGTGACGGATCTGATACCAAGTGTACAAGAATGATGTATTGCTTCTATAAAACTATTAGTTTTAATGATGCGAGTTATGCCATTTGTAAGAGATGAACGCTTCTAAGCGAGTAAGTGAGCTCGAGTTCACTGGCTTCACATATTGTTTCCGTTTGAAAGATATTCGAGGGCATCAATTGTAATTTTACTTACCGTATCATGGTGAGAGGTATTTGTATTTACTTCAGGAAAATGACATCCAGAAGAAGCATATTGCAAGTTTGCAAGAAATGATAGAACCACTCCAGGAGTCTCTTGTGCAACTAAGGAAAGAGAAGGCTGACAGTGATAGGGAAAGACAGCTGCTGAAGCAGAGGAATAAATATCTTGAAGGGGTATGAAAAGTCTAACTGAGGAATTGCTATGGAATTTGAGCCAACCATAGAGTGATTTGTTTTTCTTAACATTATTTACAGACCGCCGTCATATAGCTGGAATATTGCTGAGTGTGGCGTTAAACATTTTTCATGATCATGTGCTTGCCAGAGCTTATAATTACACGTGAACCAATCGCAAATGTGGACAAATCATTGTAAGGGTGCATATATATTTTAGAGTAGCTAAAGTCAGGTGACGTCAGTGGTAGAATGCACATTCTGAAAAAAGAAACAGCAATGGAATAAACCTATCCCAGCCAGCTGTCATCAAAAGTATGGCTGCCATACGTGAAAAGTTTGTGTTAGTTCCCACTTACAAGGCCTCATATACCACAGCCATTATATGTTTACATAATAACGTTAAATGTTTGATGAGTTTGATCAGTACTATCAACTTTTGGATTCTATAACCAGATGGCATGTCCATCCTCTTGTATACTGGATTCCAATGATCCACAAATTCCAAAGAGATATATATTGGAAGGCCCAGCAAGTGTTCCTCCAAACCCGTGTGTCAGAGATTAACCATAATTCATAAAACAGTCAGGGACTTTCACTTTATTCACATAAAGTATTTGAGACAAGTGGAACCCATGTGGATTCTCAAAACAGTTACAATCTAAAAAAGAACCAATTTCAATTCTGTCAACCAATCTTTTAACCACTGTGCTACAGGACAAAATTATGTGAATCCTTTATTCCTTAATTCACGAGGCATTTGGCATTAAACGTGGTGAACATTTATACTGAACCGCAAAGGAAACGTCACCATGGATAGATATATGAGAAACCGTATTTGTCCAAACACTGTATACATACTTTGAGACATATTAAAAAGATGAAGCTTGGCAAAAATGATCATCAAGGTTGACATTACAGTGTCAAATGTTCTTAAAGTGAAACACAACACTAGTCTCTCAGAAAATGGCATCACAAGTCAGCATCTCGTGTGTCCGCCATGTGCATTGATGACTGCTGTGCAACGTCGATACATTGAATAGATGAGGCCGTTGATGAAGGTCATAGACACTTGAGCCAACACTCTGAGGAACGCCTGACGCAGTTCAGCTGCAGTTGTCGGCCTTGGTCGGACGTCATTCAGCCGTCTTTGAATCTCGTCCCACAGGTGCTCAATGGGATTTAAATCGGGACTGAGGGCAGGCCACTGCATGGTTCTGATGCCATTCTGCTGGAGGAACTCTCTTGTTGCTTTTGCAGTGTGGGCACGGGCGTTATCATGCTGAAACTCGTGGTTTCGGCGACGTGCCAAACGAGGTATGGCGTGTGTCTCAAGACTTGATCAATGTACCGAGCTGCTGTGACACCAATGCCTCTCCCTGAACCGTTGTTCTGGAAGACCACAGGGCCGACCCCCTGTGCAAGACCAATTCCACCCCACACCAGGAGTCTCTCTCAAGAACACAAGCATCCGAATAACGTTCCCCACGGCGTCGCGAGACTCTCTCTCTACCATCTGCTGTTGAGATACAGTAATGGCTCTCGTCTGAGAAGAGGACTCTTCTCCACTGCCGGTGGCGCAATGCTGGTGCTGTGTTGCCCACTGAAGACGATCCCGGCGATGACGTGGTGTTGGAATGGGTCCTCGGTGTGGCCGGTGACAGTGGAGGTGTCTGTTCGTCATTCGTCGACGCACGGTGTCCGCACTAATGTGTCGCTGTCGTGTCCCTATGGTCTGTCGAGAGGTCTCCGCAGGAGTAACAAAGCGATCTTGAAGATGCTGTAGCACAATCTGACGATCCTGACGTCGGGTGATGACTTGCTCTTCCACTAAGTGCTCGGTCATCTTTAGTGTTGCTGGAGCCTGCCTATAGTCCTTCTGTGGACTTGAAATGCATTGGCTCCTTGCCGGGCGGTTTGTCCTGCAATTCAACGACGAATGAATGTTATCCGATCTGGGTGGATTTTTATAGGGCAAGAAATGGGGGAATGCATGTGCATTTCAATTTGCACGGAACAGACGTGCATCCGATTACCATGGCGTTTGGGCGATCGGTTTTATTGTCACCTGCTTTGTTTTTTTATCATCAAAATTCATGACAATTTTTATTGTAAGAGGCACACACGACAAATTGTCAAAAATGAAAGCAAATGCCATCTGAAGTTTACTGAGAGTACAGTATGTAAAATGCTGGACTTTCTTACAGATAACATGTACAGGACATTGAATCAATAAGCAGACATGCCCATAGGGACCGATTATGCTCGGAGCGTTTGGAAAATCAGTTTAACACTCATGTATGCTTCACTTATATCGACGGTCTGACATCGTTAATAATGGCCAATTAGCCAATTTCCCACTGACTTACAAATCTGAAAAGGTGACAAGCCAGGGTGACAAAACTATCCACAAGATTGTTGGAGAACTTTCACTTTCCGACAGTCCCTTTTGTAGAGCAAATTTCGAGCAGCTCCAGCTTTTTTATGTCTACATTTAATGTTTGAAGCACAATCGAGCTTGCTCTTTTACAAAGATTTCAAAGAGCTCTGTAGGACGGTTTGCTCAAACAAATTTTGATAAGGGTTACAACATTCTAGACCTAGGTAAAACTTTCATTTTTTATGCTAGACGTGTGAAGGACATTTCTAAATTTGATTAATCAGTTACCAAAATGTGCAATGCAATTTCCAATTTTGACTCCTACCATATGGTATTCTGTTCATGTGAACACGGAACTTGACTTTGAACGTGTTTGTGAAGAATGCTATCACTAATTGACAGTCAATCATAAACACATCTTATGATACTGTCTAATTTGTACAACGGACAATGTTTTTTGTCTTCTTTATTTATTATTATTTTTATGAAAAGTTTTTTTAGCTTTTAAATTATACGGAACATATAAAACGTGATTTTTACATCAACTGAACAAATTCGAACTCTTTGATATCCAGTTAACTATATTATGAGCCGTGGATATGAGTAAAATGAATTATGATATGATATAATGTGTTATGTTTGTCATTTGTATTTTTGTTCAGGTGCAAAACTTGTCTAGAGATGAAACCCCTGACAGAGAACGTATCAAAAGCTTACTTGGATCCCTTTCAAATATGGGTAATAATATTTGTATGTAACTTATCATATATCGAATTTAAGCCACATCATACACATCATAATGTTTTGATTCAAGAAAAAAGTAAATATGTATTCAAATTGTAAAGGCTGACACAGTTATAGATAGTATTATTTATTTAACTTACAATAACAATTTTTTATTTCTAGCAATTCTCACTTTTTAGGTCTTTCCCACAATGTCACACCTCATCTGCTGAAGTCGAATGCAGTGGACAACACCTTTGTTCTACAATGTGAGTATTCTGGTGTGTTCTAACAGGTTGGTATATTACACTTGTTTGGAAAGACTATGGTGGTAATAATTTCAACATATGTCATATGACCAGACTACGTTGTGCACGTCGGAAATGACAGATTTGTTCAACCGTTCCTTCTGAATAACGAAAGTTGAAAATACAACGCATTTATAACAGAATTGACAAAAGAAAAATATGTGTGATTAGATTAATTGTTATCATTTCGGATTGCTTCATCGTATTATAGAACATGTAGCCTATGATCGATTGTTTTTCATACTACTTACATTGTATTTGGTTGTTTAGGGCCCGTGATCATGATCAGTTACTATATTGAAAGTTTTAAATAATTGTATCATTTGTTGTGCAAACATAGATACACATTTAACTTTCCAGTCAACCACTGTCATAAGCATGACGTTAATCTGATATTTATTATGAGGAACATATAGGAATGGGAATCTATCGTGCCAGGTTAAGGACTACATGGGGCTGCTATCGACTACTCCCGGCTGTTATTTACGATCCCGATTATTGGCTGAATGGCTCGGTGTTTGAACTAGTTTGAATATATATTTTCACAGGGCGTGACTTCCTGATCCCTGTTTTAGTTGCCTCTTGCGACAGGTTTCACATTTTTGGGACCATTGTGAGAAAATGCTCAAGACACCGTTCGGGATAGAATGATGACAAATTGTACTTCGTGGGTTTACCATGTTTCCGCAATTGTTGATTACGTCTGATATATGTCACTGGTATGTAAAAGTGCTTTATACATTGTAACATTCCAAGCGTCTGAAACACACAATGGTGATTTTTGTTGAGATTAACATCGTCAGAATATGCAGGTTATATCCAAAGGTACTTCAGCAAATCAATTTATCTACTTACTGTGGATGATCAAGTTTTAGTTATGCCATTATAACTGTATAGGTTTTTAGACTTTTCTCAGACATGTCATGATACTGTATGGGACATAAATAGCTGATAGTGAATAGTACGGTTGTTGACACTGACTGACAGTGTTGTGATTACATTTTGTGCCTCAGACAAGTTACACGAGCACGATGACAACCACGATCTTTGATGTGGTTCAACATTAACCTGTAGATTTATTTGGAATGAGCCTGCTGGTGCAATGCGATTGCCAATGGAACTGAGTATGACTGATGAAGCCGTTTTTTAGGCTGCAGACGAGCCGGTTTTTTTGACACAGGAATCTGCATGATTTGACCTGCCACTTTCAAGAGTTCAGGGATTCAAAGCCTATGTGTGAAAGCAATGAGACCTTTATGACTCAGACATAGTGGTTAGTGTATGATTTTCATTATTGTACGTGTCCTGAAATGAATTTCATCAAGTTTGAAAATTGTTTTCGTGGCATTTCGAAGGGACCAGTGTTTTCTGATGGACTTTCAAATCGGTCATTGTCGGTTATTGCAAAGACGAAATTGCCTGTTCCGAGTCTGTTCGTCATCGAACATGTCCCTAAAAGTTTCATAAACAGTTCATTTGTATGAAAAAAGATATGCCTTAGTAAAGTATTGTAATCTCATCATCGAAGCAGTCAGGGTTACGGCCTAGAATCTCATATCGTCTCCAAAAACATCCAATATCAAACTACCGTACTTCCTCTTTTAGACGCTGGGCCGTCTATTTATTTCGCTGGAACCCTTGACACGGCGTGTAATGGAGACCTGCCTTGTATTTGACACCCAGCGTGTAATAGGGGAAATATATATACGTTTTACAGTTTATAGAGGGCCGATCGATCGGCAGCCATTTTTGTATGAATCGATATGTAGGCTAAGGATGTATTCATACGCACGGTTTTTTGTGTGAAAAGGCTTGATATATTTTAAGGGGGTTTTCCAAGCAAAAAGGCTCTTTTTCACTCATCAGAATCATGCGTTCATCAATGTCATGGACGAATATGGTTTTACGCCATCTTTAGCAATATTCCAGGAATATCACGGCGGGGGACACCAGAAATGAGCTTCACACAATGTCCGCATTTGGGGAATCGAACCCGGGTCATCGACGTGACGAGCGAACGCTTTTGCTACTAGGCAACCCAACCGCCCCCTCACTTCATGAATAAGAATAATGCTGCTAAGATGTATTGTCGTTAAATGAAACAGAGACAGATAGATTTAAAAGAAACACAATTCACTTCATAATCCTCGAAGACAAGGCTCAGAAGTACTCTCTCTTGAAGCAGTGGGGGTAATAGGTATTTTATTTCAGGCATAAGCTCGACGGAGAGGCGACGGCAGACAAAGACGTTTACTAGTATTCACATAAATAGGGTACTGTTTACACATTAAAATAACATCGCAGGTTCTAGTAATGTGCTAGTATTAAATCTGTTGTTTTTTGCGTTGAGCCGCAACACCACATGAGTCAAATTACACAATCTCGACTAAATATACTTGGTAGATTGAGCCATCCGTTCGCTAGTAGTTCATTTTTATGTGGTATTATGTCATCATTTCTTATGATTTGTGATGATACCTAATGTATATTGTAAGAAAAAAAGGAAAAAACGTGCAGACAGGTCTGTGTCGTGATACCTTAAATATTCGGAGAATCACCAACAATTACACAGCCGAATTGCACATAATGTGTTTTTGATAACGTAAAATAATAAATAATTAAAAAGTTTTGATATTGCTGAAGCGCTGCGCGCGATCACGATGATGTTTAGACGATGGGGGAAACTCCCTCTGGGCCATATAACTGAAATCGACTAATTAATCATTTGCACCTCGATTTGTTACAGCACAAAGTAAGTTGTACAGTCTACACAATCGTGTCATTACAGTTTACATCGGCATTTCAATTATTTCAGAAATACTAAGAACAAAATGATGCTTACTTGTGGTCTGCAAGTAATACCAGTCGATACTTGAACACTAAGCCTCTGGTCACACCTTAAAGCTATTTGCTGTTTTTCATAAGTAATTATGTCATTGTTGGTCCCTTTGAGTATTCGACGCTACATATGACAAAACACCCAATATGAATTTTCTATATGGATTTGTTTTTCTTTCATATCCTTTCAAACTCTTGGTACCATTTCTTTTTGACATTAGCATATGTAGCTGTGAGCTACAACAAAATGCAGTTACTCAATCACCCTTAACCCCTCATGAACCATACTATCATCATTCAACCTGGATGTATCCTAGTTCTTGTTGCCAGGGACATCCAGAATATATCCCCGTGCATATAAGACAGCTTTGGCCTAGATCAAATGACGGTCAGGCCTCGATATAGGGAATTAGCTATTGGGAGGTGGCCTTCAAACAAGAGAGGAGAGAGCTGAGAGGTCAATGGTTTATACAAGCAAGTGTCACATAATTCAATCATATATAATATGACATTCAATGATAATAATAATGATAAAATACTATCCCAATACAGTTTCAATCTTAGCCTGGGTACAAATGCAATGTATGTTATATTGGAGTGTGTACGGTAGTAAATACGCACAAAGACATTAGTACAACGGATACAACATTTACTAGAGTAATAACGGTAATGACAAATAACATTAGTTTCTAGGTAATGATATAAACAGCTAATAATAATGTCTTTTAGTAATATTATCGTAATACAGTTTCAAGTGTAGGAATCAATGCAATGTATGTTATATTGGAGTGTGTACGGTGTACGGTAGCGTTATTATACAAGTGATACACGTTTACTGAAGTAATAACGGCAATGACAAATAACATGAGTTTACAGATAAATTGAGTAATCCTAACATTTTGATAGAGCATGTAAGGTACAACCTACATGACAATTATATACGTCGTGGGATGTTGTGCCAATTTGGACCACTACGGTAAGAATGTTTTACTAAGGTTTACACCAAATTGATAGAAAGAGAAATATATACGTTGGGCTTATACGGTAATCTGCGCAGAGTGGTCAGACGAGGAACATGACATTTACTTTGGTAAAGACGGTAAACATTCATATGTGTATTTTTAGTAATACTTTTTATAACATCATAGTCTCGGCAAATACGGTAGGTAAAATAGTCGGGTGATTGTTCAGAGTAATGATGCTAAGGTTTACGGTAGAAGATATAGCTTAGTTTAAAAGAGAATATTAAGTTTCATTAGTGATCCTATTTGGTGACTACAGTAATCTATCATGAGGGAGCGTAATTATTTCAGGAAAAACGGTAAATAAAAGAGCAGGGTGATTGGTCCGAATAAAAATACGAAGGTACGCGGTAGGAGAAGGAGAAAGGTTGTTTTGTACTGTATATAATTGAGTAAGGAAAGAAACCTATTGCAGTATTTAAATACTTATACATGGTGATAAAACATAAAAAATCCAAATGCGTTGTTGTTGTAGCTTATACTGAAAGCACGTACGGGAGGTAAGTCTACTCATATAACATTTGATGAGCGAACTGGTGTAAATATCAATTGATTGACCTACCTATAACATAATTATTAGTTGATTAATCTTTTTGTGACAGAGCTACCTGTACGCTACGCTTCAGTTCGAAAATCCTGAATGTGTATACATTGTTGAACATAGACATAGAATGGGGATATTATAGTGGATGTGGAAAAGTGGTAATGGAATATTGGTTTTGTACATAAATACATATAACTGGAGGCGCTCACGACGCAATATGCCTAAAACATTATTGGATAGTACCTAAGTATTAAACGGTAAATACTATATTATCAGCAGGCGTTTAGAACAAGCATGTATTTGCGCATATTAGATAGAACGTTACAGTGTGACAGTACTGATTCACTTATTTAAACTTAACTCTAACATTTTCTAGACAATAATAACAACCAAATAAGCATCGTAAACATAAACTAACAAGTCGTCTTACCTTGAAACAAGAGAGGAAAGAGGTGTGAGGTCCAAGGCTTATTCAAGCTAGTGTTCTTGTGACAGCTCTAATGTATAACATTGATATGTTCTCTGATGTTGTGGGTTTGAAACGATGGTATCTAGCCAATGCCGAAAACGTTTACAACGCGCAGTTTTTGGTAAGCAACTGGTGTCAGTCTGGCCTACTGAGAGATGATATTAATTACTGTTTAGACCGTGGTTAAACATATGTCTGCTGCCAAACGAATAGGTATTCACGACAGAAGAAGGGAATAGAAAGATGGTTCATCTCAGTATTGCCGAACAACAGTTGATTTTAATTATAGTTTGGAAGATCGTTAATCATGCTTTATCTATCAAAAGTTAACTTATGGTTCTTGTAAATGAGTTCGACTCGTGTCATGATAAACGAGCTGTGCCGTGCCGACTGACTTGCCAATATGAGGATTTCCGTTGTTAAGGATAATTTGTGAAAAATTTAAAAAAAGCACGGGTATGGTGCTGACAAACCTAGAAACATAATCTGGGCGAACCGGGATCCGAACCCACAATCATGGGTTTCTGGCGTGATCAAGGGACGCAACTCTGCAAAGCAAATCCCTTCTCCTTAGACGACAGGGCCACCTGTGTCCCCGTTGTTCCCCCAAAACGTCAAAGTTATTGTTATCAGGTGAGAATATAACAAGGTGATTTCAACAACGTCAGCAACAGGTCTTTATTGTTGGGGGTGATGCTGAAATTTCCAAGAATGAAACGTCTGAAACATTGCTGTTAAAAGTCCCTCTGAACACTTTACATGCCTGTATATAAATAGACCAGGGTCAGAGGACATGTAAAGAATTACAGGAAATGGAAAGGTGAGGGTCAGTAGATCAAAAACAAAGAACCTGCGACATGGAAATTACATTGATAAAGTGTATTGGTTGACAACGTATTATTATAGATTGTTAATGAGCTCACAAACACATAAATACAAGAAAATGTTTACGGGATGTCAGTTCTAGGACTAATTACATATTAATTCAGTTTCACTTGGACAACATAAAACGAAGCAACATGGAAATTACATCCTCTAACTACACAAGTTCTATTTTATGACTCAGTCTTATCAAATTTGCATAGTTACATGTGCGTTTATCAGGTTCGTATGCAGTGTCATTGACTGATTAACTTAGCGGATTTTGTTTACTATCAAGACTGTAGCAAATACACAGTCAAAGATTCGTTAATCCGACACCCGTTAATCCGACATTCGGCTTTATTAGACACTAATGATGGGAACCGATTATATCAGTGTTTTTAAGACCCGTTAATCCGAAAGTCTCGCACTCCGACTCCGACTCCGACTCCGACACACCTAATTTGCAACGAATTGCTGAAATCACTTATTGGTCAGTCTCGTTGATCCGGCACGGTGATCAGCGTACTCCGTGGCGATCTACTCACGGGTACACAGCCGGGTTTTGTTATTCGGCGAGTAGCTGCATATTGCAACGGCTGCAAATATGTACTTGCTTATCAATAAACAATTACTGCTTTAAATAAACAAAACAGGATTAATCACATGCTCAGATTACCTCAATCTCATTAAAATCGGATACAAGTTCCCGCTACCGCTGAGGACATCCCATTACAGGTCACGTCAGAACGTTTATGAGTTCCTATTTACTACGAGTAACACAGGGAATTACATTTGTATATGGGGTTGAAACACAACCTTCCCTTTCTAACGACCTGGCACTTAAAATATAATCTATTCTTGTTGTTGACAGATGTCTGTCATTTTATGTCAGTCAGCCGGAGAAGTTGAGAGGTGTCGCCTGTGTGAGTGAGTGAATGTTGATTTAGGTTTCATGCAGCAATATTTTACCCGATTCACGGTGGTAATCGAGTCTGGGCAGGCTACATCGGTATTTGATGGTCTCAGCAACGATCAGCGTTGTCGGTGTACGATGACACACAATCAGCCAGGTCAATCATTGAACCCAACATTTTCTAATCCCGCGTCAAAGTCCCAGCTTCCATTCCCCACATGGGTACAATACCTGAAGCGCATTCTGGTGTTCACCGCCGCCATAATGCTGGAATATTCCTTAAGGCGGCATAAAACTCACTCACTCAATCTATATTGTCGCCTGTTACACAAACATGCCTGTGAAGGGGGTGTATTCTGCCTCCGAAGTCCCCAAGGGGGCCCCGCCTGGCCCCACCTGGCCACGTGACATATTTGTTTGCCAAGCAATGTACATGTTGCTCGTTATACCGTGTTTCTGTTATAAGACGACGTGTGGGAGCAGTAACTCCCTGTCATCGCCTTCAGTGTGATTATCACGCAACATTTAAGCCTAAGTAAATCAAAATAGCATCCGCAATCATATCTGATGATGTAGTATCATTTTATAATGTTGATATATTGATATGTTATATATCTAAATCCTTCTCCACTTCTGTGATGTGATTGTTTTTATGTCACATTAATTGTAGTTGAGTAGATTGTAGTTATTTATAAATCACGAAACCATCTAAATATCATGATGTACCTTAATCATCACTGTTTGTTTATGTACATGTAAACTACAATCATATGTTGTAGGTATACATCTGAAGTATGACAAAGACAGAGTCAATCCCGACTACGTCCACATCAACACAGAAGGAGACCTGGTCAACAGGAAGTCGGACACCAGACCTGCAGGGGAGGGGAGACTGAAGAAGTACAGGGGCACATGTAGCACTGCCCCCCTCCCTCGGGCTGGCTGTCCCCAGTACTGGGAGATGGTGTCTAGGGTCAGTCTGGACAAACCACTCACAGAGACCAACCTCATCCTGGAGGTGGGTGTATGCTGGGGGGAGCAGAGGGACGTGTCTCATTGTATCAATGCACTACCCAGTTCCTACTGCATGCAGGTCGCCCACTGTACTACACACGGCGGGATATGCAGACAGACATGGAAGGAGGAGAAGCGTGTGGTGTGTCTGCCTGACACTCTCCCCAACACAGCAGGGTCATCACACACACTACATTACGGTGTTGTCTATGATGACGCCACGAAGAAGATTGTCTTCATTGATGTGAAGGAGAACAAAGTGATGTCGACGTTAGACAATGTAGACTCCAGTCAGCCACTGTGGCCGATGTTCGGGGTGTATATGCCCTTATCGGGTAATGTCAGCATGACACTTGTAGTGGGCAGCGACATCAACATGACAGAGGAGAAGAAAGCAATGATTGTCAAGGCACTGTCGTGACGGAGACAATGATTGCCAGGGCACTGTCGTGATGGTGACAATGATTGTCAAGGCGCTGCCGTGATCGTGACAATGATTGTCAAGGCGCTGCCGTGATGGTGACAATGATTGTCAAGGCACTGTCGTGATCGTGGCACTGATTGTCAAGGCACTGTCGTCATGGTGGCAATCATTGCCAAGGCGCTGTCATGATGTCGTGGCGTGAGAGAGGTGGTCGTGATGGGGATAATGAACAAACAGAGACATAGATATTTACTACTCAGAAACAACTACATCACAATCAAATAAATTATATGTGACGGAAGGCTTTCAGTATGAGCTGACGGTATAAGATATCGTCGTGTATCCATGTAGTGGCCATGTATTCTACTCACAGTTAAAAACAAATGTCATTGAGAATTATGAATATTCAATATGAAATAGATAGTATTTTTTAATTACCGACAGCCAATCTGAAGGCGACACATATCCCATGTTACCACACAAGAATGAAATAGCTGAAGCGTTCGTAAAATGCATGAGATTAACAATTTTGAGAGGCAGATAGTGACAACAAAGTTGAATACAATATGTTTTGATTTACTATGAATAAAAGACGATTGGGGGATCTCAATTGGGTGTCCTATGTACGCACTTATTATTATTATTTAACATGGTCGCGCTTTGAACAATAATTTTGACACGTTTTGTTTGTTTAGTGCGAGCGACACTGTCTCTTATAGGATTCCATAGGTGACAAAGACATGTTTTTGCAACATTCAACAATACTGATTCAATGAAATACGAGTGAAAATGTTTACATTATTATTCAATGAATCAATGTATTTTTGCACCCGAGATATATATTACATGAATTAAATCAGTAGAGCTATATCGAATGTTGATCTCTTAAAGATGTAATGTACGTGATCTCTACACTTGAGCAGCAAGCATTTCTAAAAGTCCCCTGAGATTGATACACAGCCTGTTAATGTAATTCACGTATTATCAATATACTCTGAATTGAACATATATATCAATACTTTGGTAATGAATCATCTCATGAAAGGTATGATCTACTCCATACTGATGTGGATATATTGTTTCGGGGTCGTCCCAATAGCCCGGCTGGTGGATAGGTTTGGATAGGTTTACCCCGTGTTGTTTCACGCATCAACATTAAAGAGTGGCCGACTCTAATTTGTTTCTATTGTCCAGTTAATACATCAACTTGTTAAACACACAACCTGATGAAAGAATAAGCATATACCCCGAAACGTTGTGTTCCTCATAATAAGGGGGCAAGGGTGGCCCAGTCGTCTAAGGCGCCGCGATTCGCTGTGCAGAGTTGCGTCCCTTGGACACGCCAGAAACCTATGATTGTGGGTTCGAATCCCGGTTCGCCCTGATTATGTTTCTAGGTTTGTCAGCACCATACCCGTGCTCGTGGGTTTCACCGAAGTGGTAAACGTCTGACACCTGCATCACTTCGGGCTTTCCTCCTACATTAAGCTGACACGCCGCGATATGACTGGAATACTGTTAAAAGCGGCGTTAAACCCAACTCACACGCTCCTCATAATAAAGAAGTTGAGATCCATATATTCTCTTCCTTATGTGCATCACTTCTTTATGCCTTTCAAAGACTCGTTAAACACAATTTTCAGTAATAAGAACCAGTCAGGTGTGATATAATGCAACAACACAACCGATAGCACATTTCTGTCCATTATCAATTTGTCTCTTGTATTCGACGATCATGGTCACCTTCCCTTCCAAAACGTTTCTGTTTCTGTTAGCAGTACTGCTGTTCCATATATTTCACATAGGGCTAAGAGGTTATATGAAATACTTTGTTGTAAACCCGTCCCCATTCTCAATGGCAAGGTTCACTGTCAACTACATGTATGTCCACTGTTATTGTATATATGTTGTACTTTTGTCCTATTATCCTCATAAGGGGGCACGGGAGGCCCAGTCGTCTGAGGCGCCGCGATTCGCTGTGCAGAGTTCCATCCTTTTGACACGCCAGAAACCTATGTTAGTGGGTTCGATTACCGGTTCCCCCGATTATGTTTCTAGGATCGTCAGCACCATACCCGTGCTCGTGGGTTTCACCGAAGTGGTAAACGTCTGAGACCTGCATCACTTCGGGCTTTCCTCACACATTAAGCTGACACGTCGCGATATGACTTGAATACTGTTACAAGCGGCGACAAATCCACCTCACTCACTCACTATTATCCTCATATACTGATAAGATGTCTATATATATATATATATATATAATACACAACAAATAATACTGTGATCCTATCACATACTGATCAGTGAATATCTTTATATTATATAACTGCTAAGTCTCCTAACTTTGCACACAAAAAGCCGCGTCCGGGCCGTAGTGGATAAAGAGGGCGTCAGTGTTTCAATCCCCTGACCACGTCATACCAAAAGACATTACATGATGGTATTTCTTGTTACCCTGCTTGGTGCTCGACATTAAGTTGGCTAGTACTACAAAAACAGCGCGTCCGCACACATACAAGCAGCTGTCCCAGTCGTCTAAGGCGCCGCGATTCGCTGTGCAGAGTTGCGTCCCTTGGACACGCCAGAAACCAATGATTGTGGGTTCGAATCCCGGTTCGCCCGGATTATGTTTCTAGGTTTGCCAATACCATACCCGTGCTCGTGGGTTTCACCGAAGTGGTACACGTATAAGACCTGCATCACTTCGGGCTTTCCCCCCACATTAAGCTGACACGCCGCGATATAACTGGAATACTGTTAAAAGCGGCGTTAAACCCAACTCACTCACTCACTCACATACAAGCAGCCAGACACACACGTGCATGCAACAATCATGATCTCATCCCCACCTTACCATGTTCTGTTTCAATAACTCAATTAACCTATGGTATTTCAGTAGGCTAACACTATTAAACTGACATGATAGAAGCATGGACTGGTACAAACATCCAGACATGTGTAATCCTTATTTGGAAATAAACAGACAAGTGAAAAACACGGAATGGAGAGGCAGAATTTTGATTTGAAATCAAACCCATCTAAAATCCGAGTGAAGCCTATTGGCCGAATGAACACTTGATTCGATTGTGTTCAATGCTTCTTGCCATCAAAATGTGATGAATGAGGATATGATCACAGTTATCTTTTGTTGGGTGAAGTACACATGCGTTTTCACGTTATGTATAATTATTTTGCATTTTGTTTCATGCAGAATGTTATGTTAGAAGCGACTGGCTTGACGAATGTCTATGTGTAGTAATATAGTAGTTACACACTTCTACAAATATGACATACGGGGAAAAATCAGCTGAAAATACTTCTTGCACACTGAACATCGTTTGCAGTTATATGTTGTGGGAGAGATAGGACTTGATGTTGAGGGAGTATCACAATCACATGTACCGTTATCTCACATATACTTGTATTATTGGTGTCATATAGTCTAAATATATATTCTATCATATGATTAAAATGATTTCGCAAAATGTTGTTGACATATTTATTCATTTTACCTCTGCTCGTGGATTTCAACAAAGTGGTACACATCTGAGACCCGCATCACTTGACTGCAGTCAACATGCTGGGTTCCATGTTCAGTATCAATCACTAGATTACTTCCCACATGTTGGGTTGTATGTTCAGTATCAACCACTGGTTTACCCCTCACATGCTGGGTTGTATATTTAGTATCAACCACTGGTTTATCTCCAACGTGTTCAGTTGTATGTTCAGTATCAACCACTGGTTTACCCCTCATATGCTGGGTTGTATGCTCAGTATCAACCACTGGTTTACCCCTCATATGCTGGGTTGTATGTTCAGTATCAACCACTGGTTAACTTACCACATGCTGGGTTGTATGTTCAGTATCAACCACTGGTTTACCTCCCACATGTTGGGTTGTATGTTCAGTATCAACAACTGGTTTAATTCCCACATGTTGATTTGTATGTTCAGTATCAACCACTGGTTCCCCTCTCCCATGCTGGGTTGTATGTTCAGTATCAACCACTAGTTTACTTACCACATGATTGTTTGTATGTTCAGTAACAATTATTGGCTTGCCTCTCCCATGCTGGGTTGTATGTTCAGTATCAACAACTGGTTTACATACCACATGGTGGGTTGTATGTTCAGTATCAACCACTGGTTTACCTCCCATATGTTGAGTGGTATGCTCAGTATCAACCACTGGTTTACCTCCCACATGTTGAGTTGTATGTTCAGTATCAACCACTGGTTTACTTACCACATGTTGAGTTGTATGTTCAGTATCAACCACTGGTTTACTTCCCACATGTTGAGTTGTCTCTTCAGTATCAACCACTGGTTTAATTACCACATGCTGGGTTGTATGTTCAGTATCAACCACTGGCTTACCCCTCATATGCTGGGTTGTATGTTCAGTATCAACCACTGGTTTACCCCTCATATGCTGGGCTGTATGTTCAGTATCAACCACAGGTTTACTTACCACATGCTGGGTTGTATGTTCAGTATCAATCACTGGTTTACTTACCACATGATTGGTTGTATGTTCAGTACCAATTATTGGCTTGCCTCTCCCATCCTGGGTTGTATGTTCAGTATCAACAAACTGGTTCACCTCCCACATGGTGGCTTGTATGTTCAGTGTCAACCACTGGTTTACCTCCCACATGTTGAGTTGTATGTTCAGTGTCAACCACTGGTTTACCTCCCACATGTTGAGTTGTATGTTCAGTGTCAACCACTGGTTAACTTACCACATGCTGGGTTGTATGTTCAGTATCAACCACTGGTTTACCTCCCAAATGTTGGGTTGTATGTTCAGCATCAACCACTGGTTTACCCCTCATATGCTGGGTTGTATGCTCAGTATCAACCACTGGTTTACCCCTCATATGCTGGGTTGTATGTTCAGTATCAACAACTGGTTTACCTCCCACATGTTGAGTTGTATGCTCAGCATGAACCACTGGTTTACCTCCAACATGTTGAGTTCTATGCTCAGCATGAACCACTGGTTTACCTCCCACATGTTGAGTTGTATGCTCAGCATCAACCACTGGTTTACTTACCACATGTTGAGTTGTATGCTCAGCATCAATCACTGGTTTACCTCCCACTTGTTGAGTTGTATGCTCAGCATCAATCACTGGTTTACCTCCCACATGTTGAGTTGTATGCTCAGCATGAACCACTGGTTTACCTCCCACATGTTGAGTTGTATGCTCAGTATCAACCACTGGTTTACCTCCCACATGTTGAGTTGTATGCTCAGTATCAACCACTAGTTTACCTCCCACATGTTGAGTTGTATGCTCAGCATCAACCACTGGTTTACCTCCCACAAGTTGAGTTGTATGCTCAGCATCAATCACTGGTTTACCTCCCACATGTTGAGTTGTATGCTCAGCATCAACCACTGGTTTACCTCCCACATGTTGAGTTGTATGCTCAGTATCAACCACTGGTTTACCTCCCACATGTTGAGTTGTGTGCTCAGTATCAACCACTAGTTTACCTTCCACATGTTGAGTTGTATGCTCAGCATCAACCACTGGTTTACCCCTCATATGCTGGGCTGTATGTTCAGTATCAACAACTGGTTTACTTGCCACATGCTGGGTTGTATGTTCAGTATCAACCACTGGTTTACCTCCCACATGTTGGGTTGTATGTTCAGTATCAACCACTGGTTTACCTCCCACATGTTGATTTGTATGTTCAGTATCAACCACTGGTTCCCCTCTCCCATGCTGGGTTGTATGTTCAGTATCAACCACTGGTTTACCCCTCACATGCTGGGTTGTATGCTCAGTATCAACAACTGGTTTACTTACCACATGGTTGGTTGTATGTTCAGTATCAACAACTGGTTTACATCCCATATGGTGGGTTGTATGCTCAGTATCAACCACTGGTTTACCCCTCATATGCTGGGTTGTATGTTCAATATCAACAACTGGTTTACTTACCACATGCTGTTTTGTATGTTCAGTATCAACCACTGGTTTACCTCCTACATGTTGGGTTGTATGTTCAGTATCAACCACTGGTTTACCTCCCACATGTTCATTTGTATGTTTAGTATCAACCACTGGTTCCCCTCTCCCATGCTGGGTTGTATGTTCAGTATCAACCACTGGTTTACCCCTCATATGCTGGGTTGTATGTTCAGTATCAACCACTGGTTTACCTCCCACATGTTGAGTTGTATGCTCAGCATAAACCACTGGTTTACCCCTCATATGCTGGGTTGTA